CCAATCTTGCAAAATATATATATATATATATATATATATATATATATATATATATATATATATATATATATATATATATGTGTGTGTGTGTGTGTGTCTGTTCTTGTATTTTACTGCAAAAGGGCCATCATAAAGTAAATACCATTTTTATAGAAGATATAAAACATTTGTAACATTTTTAGAACATCTTAAGTGTATTTAAATGTTCATAAAACTTTAATATTGTATAAATATGGATTATACTGTCAGGAAGTCTGTTAATTGGACCCCTTGTTTGTAATGTAATATTCATTGTTTTTCTGAATAAATTCTTGCTGACTGAAGTATTTATTCGAGTATTCCAATAGAGTAAAATATTAATACACCCCATTACTTATGTCTCCTATACAGGCTTCATAGGCTGGTAAATTACTATATTTAATCTTTATCTGATTGAGAACTGCTTTTAAATGCATTAAAATATTTATAATACGCACAAATTATATTGTACCTATGAAGCTTATTTTTAGAAGAAAGACTATTATAATGTTTAATATTCACTTTCTTCAATTAAAGAAGCATTCATTGTGCTTTTGTTGAATTTTCAATGTTGCCAAGAAAATAAGTAAAAAAAAAAAAAAATCTTTCTTGCAAAGGATCACAAAGAAGTTGTTATATATAACATTAATAATCATAGCACATTTATTGTTCCCTAACAATTCATCGACACACATCTTTTATTTTATTGTTTAAAATCTGGTGAGAAACTAATCATTGAACTATGTTGAAAATTCATTCATTTTAGTCCAAAAATCAATTTACGAACAACAGATCCATCAACAGCCGACACGATTTCTGTAAAATCTAGATTATTTTATATTAAACTTCCCCCAAAGAGTAACTAGCCATTGTCAATCGAATATTTTCATTTGGTATTTTAATAATTAACAAAAGCAATAAAATTTGCATCATTTTCCTAATAATTCACGCACACTAACAGATACGTCATTCTGGTAGTGGATGGACTTCATTTTAGAGAGAAGGCATAGTTTTGTATTAGTTATACCATAAAATGACTCTTATTATATCCTATATTATTATATGTTTAGTCAATATTTTAAAAAAATTAACACTAAAATATCTTAGAGTATCTCAAATAATATTATTTTAACTGACTTACATGCTCATTACATTTCATTCCCACTGATCAGACCCCGAACGATGAATACTGAGCCTTAAGCTCACACTTGCCTTCAAGTGGAACTCATATACGATCTGTCGCTAATGATGTAGGTAAAATGATCAACACTCTCTACCGTTCCAGTAGGTGCCTGACCCCTCCTGCTATTTTCTACCTTTATAAGAGCCAGATCAGGCTGGAAATAGAGTACTGTTGTCATATTTGGAAGAGAGCTGCCCAGTCCTCATTTTCCAGTCCTGTGTCCATTCTTCAACCTCTCCCTCACAGATGGGATGAGGCGAGTCTCTCACTGTTCTGTCGTCACTACCATGGAAAGTGATCGGATAAACGACATTCCTTGGTTCCACCATATTGGCAAACCATTCATATTCCCTCGAGAAGTAATTTCCACTCTAACAGCTTCTTCTCACGAACCACTGCCCTGGGAAACAGACTCCTAAGAGGATGTTTCGCCCATCACTACAATCTTAACCCGTTCAAGTCATCTTCCCTTTCTAATCATATAAATTACCCCTTAACTTAATCGTTGTATAAGGTGAACCTTACTGTAAAAAATAACAAAAACAAAAAAAAACACATCAAGCTGAGATTTTTATTATCAACTACTGACCGGTGTCCTCACCCACATAAATGAGATGAGTCGCCTGTTACCAAACTTACTCTACGTTAACACTTCTGACTTGACTGAATAGATTATTTAAAAATTCTAATGTCATTTTCTTTTAATTTCAACTTGGAAAAACACTTCAAATAGCAAATTAAAGAAGAAAGATGTCAGCCATCTTTATACAACGCATTTACATGTTTATCTCTACTGATTTGTTTCACGTTTACAGTTTATGTATATACGAATAGATTTTTGGACAAAAGAAATAAATCTTTAAATCACTAAGATTTTTATGTATAACCTGTAATAAATCGATATCTAGAAGCGTTACCTTTCTGTCAAAGGCTTCGACATTAATCAAGAAGATCATGAACTGAACATGAATGGAGAGAGAGAGAGAGATGATCACATAAACCCAAAACAGGATCTTCTGATCAGATTAGCCTCTCATTTTATGACCAGATTAAGTAACTCTTGTAACTTAACAAGAACTTAAGAGCCAGCAAACACTGGAAATCGGCCACATTGACAGTGTTTTGAAAAAATTATGAGTCAAGACAACCTCAGAGAAAAACTATAGATAATATATAAGATAAACCCTTTATTTTAAAACCATAATTTTTATTATGAATGAATAAACTTCATTAAAATTCTTTTAACAGTACTGGCGGTAATTTCCTTTTTTTCTGAATTAAATCAAATTAAGTCAAAGCATACGGCCATACTATGTTGAAACACCGGTTCCCGTACAATCACCGAAGTTAGGCAACGTTGAGTACTTAGATGGGTGTCAGCTTGGTAATACCAGGTGCAGTAAGCTTGGATATGCGGATGGTGTAATGGATAATGGCTGGGAATTGTTAATCGAAGAGCCGTGCTCCGATTCTCTTCGGGTTCGTTATAGTCACTTACGCACAAATATCCTTGGGGAACGTATGAATCCACCTCTCCTACCTCCAGCTATGTGTTAATTAGTAAGACTTCTATCTTTAAATCATTATTGTCCAAAAAATCGCGTACAAAATGTTTAGATTTCGGCATTAAATAACCCATAGAGGTTGATATGCCGCTAAACAAAAACAAACAACCAACCAACCAAACTGTTTCAAAACTTTTGCTTTTTATAATAAAAATTGACTACAAATGTGAATCAGTTAAAACCGACCTATATGCTGATTTAGCACGCTTCATCCTTGAAAATGTCTTCTCACATAAATATGGTTTACCAAAATTAAAAATTGTGTATAAGATTTTCAAGTAGAATATCCTTCATCTGGAAGGCATTTATAAAAGTCAGTTAACTTTCCTTCCTTCTATATGTAAATATTTTTCTGTGATTAATTGCTTTATATCATCTGATAGTCTTTCATTATGATTAATAACCATTTTATTTATTAAGTTTTAGGAAATAAAATATGGTTTCATTTTTGTATATATTATTTATTATATATATTTTCGTTCAAACTTAGATATATTAAATAGATAAAGAAAAACATTTTATTTGATACATAATAACATTCCAGAGAAAATTATATAAAATTCTTATTTAAGAATATTACCATGTACCATATGGTCGTCAGGCTGGGTGAAATGTCACAGCAGGCCTTGTCTGGCCCGCAGGCCGTAGTTTGTCGACCGCTGCGACAACTGATGCGAGTATCGTTTCAATGTGCCAAACTTACATTTGCCCGGTATTCGACTTCATCTGATGAAGTTGATAAGGTCTACTTAGCTTTAGTTTTCTACGTGAATGCGTCAAGAATTTTACTGGAAACAAAAACGTCGGAAAAAACTGCAGGGAAGAAAACTTGCAAACGAAAATTGTTGAACTTCGTTAAAAAACAAATAAAGGTCAACGGAATTAGTTGCATTTGAGTGAAAAGAAATGTGTCATTTTTTAATTCCCTCTTTATAAAGTTACTCTTATATAAATCCGGCAACTTATATCCGGAGATATATACAGTAGTAATATACCAAAAGACGCATATATGATAAAATAGACATTCAGATATAAACTTCCACAATAAAAGAGAATATATTAGCATCAAACTTCTGTTCACCTACCTACAATTTCACACATACGCTATATTATTTTAGCATATTGCAGTATTTCCATCGACAGTAAAAAATAACGTTAAACCTGGTTAATATTGTAAACCAGGTTTTCAATTTAATTTATGAGTTTTTCGATCGGTTGTACATGTGTATATGAAACGCAAAAAGTTTTTCACCTTTTAAGTATGCATATTTTTTTTTTATATTTCCTTTTCTACATAATAAAAGCAATACAAATAACATTAACCGATACATAAATGAATATGATTAAGTGACAGTTAAAACAAATTGAATATTAACAGTAATAGGCATCGGACACTGATATTTCTAGCATCATATTTCAGCAAAAAAAGACAATACAGAGATGCAAGATTTTATGGAATTTGGTATAAAACTATTTTTTTTTATCTTTAAAGCTTAAGATAAACTTGATGTCTTCTATCCATTACGGGTCACAATCGCATTTACTATTGATAAAATAGGACTTTTCAATTTTGTACCGTATTTCGGTGAGTTTAAATTTAGGTTTTCTCTTTACTAACTGCTACTTTACAACTGTGTATACATCAATATATGGAAACACTTTGATTCATATATATATATATATATATATATATATATATATATATATATATATATATATATATGTGTGTATATATATATATATATATATATATATATATAGGATAACGATAAATACATTTTTATATATCTAGAACAATTTTTGGAGAAAGACATATGACAAAGTGTAAAAAATATTTCGTGTGATGTGTTTCGTCCTATAGGATGTGTTTACATTGACGCGACACATTGTACACATGTACACGAAGGAGAGATGCTGAGAATTCTAAATTTTCAATTCTTTTTCAATTCGTTTTTTAAATGTGTTTTGGGTATATAATAATCTAGCCGATTTCATTTAGATTCTTTTGCTTTTTGTTTCAATCACTTTTGAGATATCCCACACTGATAATAGAAAATCTGCCAGGTTATGATGAAATGTTCTAAAGAACGAAACGCGTCATTTCTTCCTTATATATATATATGTATATATATATATATATATATATATGTGTGTGTGTGTGTGTGTGTGTAAACAGCATCTAAAAATAATAGAAGCACCAAAAAAAAAAAAATAAAAAAAAACGACCGATAATAAGAAAGTATGAACACGGTCAAAATGTAATAATTGTATTTCAGAATTATGAATATGTTTGTCTTTCACGAACTTATCCACTGCTTACAATAGACTAGCACAAATAAAAGCCTTGAAAATGGCTCTAAATTGTAAATTTTCAGTCATTTTTTACGAAAAATTTATTAGAGAGGGATTGCTGCCCAAACATCCAACTATATATTTTGGAAAGTGTAAAAAGTTTTCACGTTAACACATTTTGTTTTTTAGGACTTCATCGGACTAAAGTGAATTTTACATTAACGCGATCCACATCACTTTAGTCGGATGAAATCGAAAAGGATGAAACGTGCCACTGGAAAACTTTTTCCACTTTGTTATAGTTTTCCCTAAAATTGATCTTGATATACAAAACTTTATATTTCGTAACTTTATTTTGGTATTGACCGGTTAAGAGACGAAAGACAACGACAAAAAACGTCATCAAATGTTTCTGTTGCTATGTCCCGAGATCCTCGTTGTTACACAATATGTGGACTTGTATGCAAATGACTAGTTGGACTGAAGTTTCACGTACGACACAAACATAAAAAAAAAGTGAATGAGGTTGTCAGATCCTCATACGTCGAAATCCACGGAGAGTCTAATATATATATATATATATATATATATATATATATATATATATATAAGAAATGGACAAAGTCCGACATTTATTAAGAACATTTTATGTTTAACGTTTTTTTTAAGTAAATGTTTGTTTATAATAAATATAAATATGAGTATGAGTTTTCATAGAAAATATTCGTTTTTGGACAGGACTAACATGCATCCTATACGGAACCGTCATTACGCTGACGTGCCTTGGGCTGATCGGCAATACAAAGAACAAATATTTCTATGAAAATTCCTCGGACATTCAGGCCGGTAAATGTTATTTAATACTGTTTATTATAAACAGAGCATTTACTTTAAATACTTGTATCTATAAAAAGAACGTTAAACATAAAATTTTATATATATATATATATATATATATATATATATATATATATATATTTCAGAATGAGGTCCTTCTGCAGAAAATTATGATATCAAATATCGCTGTCTTTACTTTCAGGTGTCTTAAGTGATTTTATTCCATTCAAATTTCTCATTTTGTTTTTATAATGATAAATAAATACCACAGTTTAACATTATAGAAAGCTTCTTACAATGAAAATAAAGCATGCAAATACAAAAAATGGTGAACTTTTTTATGACACCAGCTAAATGTTTATTGATAAAATGTACAGATCAAACACATGCAAAACATAAAAACAAATATCAAATGAACAACAACACACTCATACAACCACCATTTAATAGAATCTACACCGTACACCTAGAATTGCGGGGGATGCACACTAAAACTTCGTCTCTTCGCTTCGATTAGAAAGCCTGTTGCTACATACTACTCACCTTACGTTCAGCAACCATATTGCAGACACTCACACAGATATTATAAGAGAAAACAAAATGTAAATTGTAAATGCGATAAAAATTCGTACATGGATGTACAATAAATATTCATTTTATATCATTTAAACTTTATCAGATGTTTTATTCTAAGAAATTACAAATATGTATAAACTATATACGAGAGATGTTCCAAAAGTAATGCTTCCTATTTTCTTTCCTATTACGTGGGCCTACAACGTCAGAGACAGATATTTGATAGTAAAGCTTAACCTCCTCGACAATACCAATCTTTTTGCTTTGAGGCAATTTGACAAAATTACATCTTACATGAAAATGTCTTGAAAGCAGTGTCATTTAATTTATCCATGAGAAGAGAATTTTACTCATTGACATTCATCGGCGCTTGATAAACGTTTCAGAAATGAAAGGGTGGATATGAGTACAGTTAGGTGATGGGTTATATATTTCAACAGTGGAGACACTAGGGTTGCCAACTCTGTCAAATTATAATGAAGGACATAAGGAAAAATATTTAAATAATTTTTAATTTAATTCTAGTAGATATAAATAATAATGGAAACATATTACCTCTTAAATTCAACAAAGGACTAAAACAAAAAGAACTAAATGGACAGTTGGAAACCATTGGTGACTGCAATGTGGGAGTCACGTTAATTAATTGCTACAGATTTTTTAAGCGATGTTGAAAATACATAGCCAATGACAGTGACTATTTGAAAAATAGTGTTTTGTAGATGAACCAGTGTTAGTGTTCACTCTTTTTCTGTTGTACTTTCAATGGAAATGAACAGGAGTGAAATATTCCAAAATACTCACTAACTAAAATATAATTAATTCGCTTATGTATATTTCCTTTACTATAACAGTTATCTGTAGAAGTGTCCCCAGTAAACAGTTTATGAAAAAAAAAAAACTTTTTGATGGCAATCAACCACTAATCCGGCGGGAGTATTGTTTGACTATCCAATTCATTCACATAAATAGAGAATTAAAAAAAAAAAAAACACCCATTCGTAATATTAAGAGATCTAAGCAGGATACGTACTGTTCAGATAAATAGGATAGTAAGCGAAATTGCTGCTTTTTAATAGGAATTATAATTCTTCCCTAAAAGCGAAACGGGAACATATTATTCAATAAGTGTTC